TATGCCCAAACAGCGCATAGCAGACATTTCTGAAGGAGGCCTGGCTCGATTCGCCCAGTGGGCCCTTTGGAGCTCTCGTCGATTTCCCTGGGCTTGCGTTCTCATCCCCAGTCATCCTCTGGCGGTCCTGGGGTCCAGAGACGGCCCCCTTTTGGCCGACATGCGATGACGTGACTTCAGTCGCCATTATTTTGCCGAAGCGCCCGGAGGCCTTGGGTCGGAGAGGACGTCAAACGCGCCTCTGGCCGCTGGGCGCCCTCGCCCCTCCTCCCCACCGCCGGAAGGCTGGACCGGCGGGGGGCTGCCAAGACTGGCGGGGAGTACATCTTGGACTTCGGAGAGGCCGGTGACGATTACCAGCCTCCGCTCAAGCTGAGGACCCGCCAGGGTCGTCGTCGACGTCGTCGTCGTCGTCGTCGTCGTCGTCGTCGTCAGGAGTGGGTGTAAAGCAGCAGAGGGGGGAATGGAGGCGGAGCTGGGAGTGGGAGGAGGTGTAGGTGTAGGAGCATGAGTAGAAGTAGGAGTAGTAGTAGGAGTATGAGTAGGAGTAGGAGTAGGAGGAGGAGGAGGAGGAGGAGGAGGAGGAGGAGGAGGAGGAGGAGGAGGAGGAGGAGGAGGAGGACGAGGAGGAGGAGGAGGAGGAGCAGGAGGAAGAGGAGGAGGAGGAGGAGGACCAGTGGAAACCCAAGAGTCATCAACGATGTTGGAATTAACCCTCCGTCCATGCTCCCTCTTAATAGGCACCTACAACGGTTCATTTCCATTGAGGGAACTGCGTCGTTGGAAGACAACAGTTTGAAGATCCGGAAGCGTGTCAAAACATTGTTCTCGGGATTTCCACGCCACGTATCAACGTGACTGCTGCGTCTTGACTATCCAGAACCGTGCCAGAATGAATCAACACAACGAATCAACATAATTATTGCGCCCGCATAATCCGGAGCTCTTCGAACGCACCATTTTTGGTACGTTGATCATGGGAATCTGTGAAACACTTGCAAATGTTGAAAACGAATGTGCGCGGCGCGAAGGCGAATGCCACATTTTGAAAACCATCCGCCCTCAATCCGTGAAGCTCTTGCACATTTTGAAAACGAATGTGCGCGGCGGGAAGGCGAATGCCACATTTTGAAAACCACCCGCCCTCAATCCGTGAAGCTCGTGCACATTTTGAAAACGAATGTGCGCGGGGCTAAGGCGAGAGCCACATGTTGAAAACCACTCGCCCTCAGTCCTTGACACTCTTTCAAGTTTTTTACAATGAGTGTGCGCGGCGCTTAGGCGAGAACCGCATTTTGAAAACCACCCGCCCTCAATCCGTGACACTCTTGTAAGTTTTTTGCAATGAATGTGCGCGGCGCTAAGGCGAGAACCACATTTTGAAAACCACCCGCGCTCAATCCGAAGCTCTTCCAAATGTTTAACACGAATGTGCGCGGCGCTAGGGCGAGAACCACATTTTGAAAGCGACCCGCCCTCCATCTGTGAAGCTGTTGCCACTTCTTATGCTTCAGAGTCTCAAATGGTAAGGAGGTCTCAGGCGAAACGCCCGGCCTGCCCTGAAAACCGGTCTCGGGGTGCGACAGGGTGGAGTTATCTTTAAGGAGAAGGAATGGAGGAAGGGGAGAAGGAGGAGGAGGAGGAGGAGAAGGAGGAGGAGGAGGAGGAGGAAGAGGAGGAGGAGGAGGAAGAGGAGGAAGATGAGGAGGAGGAGGAGGAGGAGGAGGAGGAGGAGTAGGAGGAGGAAGAGGAGGAGGAGGAGGAGGAGGGGGATGAGGATTATAATATGGAAGAGGGGGACGATTACCGCCTTTGCTCAAGTCGAGGATCCCCCGTATGTGGAGGAGGAGGTGGAGGAGGAGATGGGGAAGGATGAGGGGGGTGAGAGGAGGATCTCATGAGGATCTTGGAAGGAGGAGGAGGAACATGAGAAGGGGTAGGAGGGGGTAGGAGGGGGGTAAGAGAACATGACTGTCAGCCTCCGCCAAGACAGGCTGACGAAGATTATTGTGATGTTGATGATGGTTGTGATTCTGCTGCTGCTGCTGATGATGATGATGATGATGATGCTAACGATGATGCTGATGATGATGACGATGATGATGATGCTGATCATGATGCTGCTGATGATGATGCTGATGCTGCTGATGATGATAACAACAACATTGCTGATGATGACATTGACGATGATAATGATGCTGATGATGATTTTGATGATGATGATGTTGAGGATGATGATGATGCTGCTGCTGACGTTGTTGATGATGACGATGATGATGATGCTGATGATGCTGCTGCTGATGATTGTGATGCTGATGGTGATTTCGATGGTGATGGTGATCGTGATGATGATACTGCTGCTGCTGCTGCTGATGATGATGATGATGATGATGATGATGATGATGATGATGATGATGATGATGATGGTGATGATGATGATGATGATGATGATGATGATGAGGAGGAGGAGGAGGAGGAGGAGGAGTAGGAGGAGGGGGAGGAGTGGGAGGGTGCGAAGGGGGATCGGGAGGAGGAGGAGGCGCATGTTTTGGGCGCCACGCGAACAGGATCCCATACGAAGCGTACCTGAGCTGATCTGCATTTCCTCATGCGTTGCCCGTACGCGCTACAAGGTGTGTGCGACCTGCTGTAACCTTGGTGACCACCATCGCCACTTTGATCCTGCAGCCATTTTGGCCAAGGTCGCGGCGCAATGGGCTTCAGCTGTGTCGTGCATGCTGGATCAAGGTCCTCCTCCTCCTCCTCCTTCTCCTCCTCCTCCTCCTCCTCCTCCTCCTCCTCCTCCTCCTCCTCCTCCTCCTCCTCCTCCTCCTCCTCCTCCTCCCCCTCCTCCTCCTCCTCCGCCTCGAGGCCGCCGGCTGCTCGGCGAGAGCGTGGCCGCACTGGGGGCGATCGCCCGCAAGAGCTCCCTGGGCTCCGGCGGCGGTGGCCGCCTGGCCGCGCCCCTCGGGGGAGCAGAGCGGGTGCACCATCTCGGAAAGGCCCTCCGAGGCTTTGGGAGGAGGCCGTCGGCGCCGCCGCGGAGTGGTCGGCCCCCCCCCCCCAGCGCGGCGGGCCCCTCCGAGACGGCGGCGCCGGTGCTCTCGGGTTGGGCTCCTCGGCGGGCCACGCTGTGCGCGGCCGCACGCTGGTGCCGTCGGGCTCTTTTTTTTCTCGTCGGCTCCTCTGGAGGTGTGCCTGCCCTGGGGATCTCGTCCCAGCAGCCGCGCTTCGGCGAGAGCTTTTTTGTGGGGAGCCCGAGTCGCGAGTTCCCGTTTGCGTCCCGAAGGAGGGCCCTCTGCCAGAGCGTTCTGTGGCGCGCGGCTTTCAGGGGGGGCGGGGGGGTCCAGGCCCAAGCAGGGGAGACACCTCTCCATTCCCATCCTTACCCTCCCCCCCTCCCTTCCTCCCTGCTTTCCCTCTTCTCCTCCTCTCTCCCTTGCCTCTATTCCTCCCTCCTCCTCCTCCTCCTCCTCCTCCCTCCTCTTCCCTCCTCCTCCTCCTCCTCCTCCTCCTCCTCCTCCTCCTCCTCCTCCTCCTCCTCCTCCTGTCGCATCGCACGCAACGGTCGGCAAGCCGCGCACAGAAGGGCGCGCTCAGCTAGGGGATTTCGTGCGTGCAGCCGGGTTACGGCCCACGAGCCACTCCTCGGGACCTCCTGACCGAACTGAAGCAGGATGTGCTTGCTCAGGTTTGATCAGGGACTTTACACCGCACTCACATCTATACCCCGGGGTGGGTGTATGTGCGGCCGTTTTTGCGCTGTCATGTGCGCGCATGTGCGCGGCATGTGCCAGTCATGTGCCAGGCCTGTGCGGCCCTTCTTGGATGGACTTCCTACTGTGCACGTCGTGCCGGGGGCATGTGCGGCCCCTTCCGGACCACAAGTTCAAAGTGAGCACTATAGAAGTGTACGCTATAGAAGTGAGTCCAGTGTACCCTGCGATCGGCAATGATCGTGACTCTGCCCCCTCGTGACGTGTCGTAGCCCCTTCAGCTCCGTAGGTCGCACTAGTAGCATTTGCAGCATGAGGTGCCTCGGGGACCTCTACTCCCTGCCCTCTTCCCTCCCCTCTCTTCCACTCCTCCCTCATCCTCCCTCCTCCCTCCCGCTTCCTCCTTTTTCCTCATCCTCCGAATTCCTTCTCCCGCTCCTCCTTCCAAGATTTGGCTATGTTCGCCATACAGTTCTGTGCAGTGCCCCGTTTCGAAGCATCTGGTATGCCATGCGATAGATAAAGTTCTACGTGCTGCCATGATGTACCACGCGATGCTATGGTATGAGACCCAGTGCTACGCAGCACTGCTGTGCCATGCCATGATGCAACACCATGATTTCCTTTGCGTGGCACCGCATCGCGTTGATCCTTCTGTATGCCCGCATAGAGCACGCCCCTGTTTGGTGTCGTGCCAGACTGTTCTCGAAGGGCGCGAGCGGGTGCCGGCCAGCTCGCACCGAGCCCGCAGCGCGACTGTCCGTGGCTTGTCGTGCTCCCCCTCCTCCCCCTGCGGTCCCTCCCCGTCCCAGCCGTCGAGCTCCTTCCAGAGCTTCTTTTCCCTCCCGGGTCCCTCCTGTGCGTTATGGATTCCCGTCGTCCTCCCTCCTCGTGCTTCCCTCCCTTCTCGCCGTCGTCCTCAGGCAGATCTCCTCCCCCTTCCGTCCTCGCTGCTCTCTCGCCTCCCTCCTGCCTCTCCCGGCCTCCCTCTGCCTGCTTGGTGCCCCGCCCTCCCTCACCTTCAGGGGTCCCTGTTGATAAGGCTGCCTAAGTCGGGGCCCGCCTCTTCTTCGACACTCGATCTGGCGAGCAGAGTAAGGAGGCGAAGGTAAGGAACTCGCCATTGTTGAAAACGACCCTGCTCAGCGCAAGGGCAAAGGGTTATATATACACACATATATATATATATGTATATACATATATGTTGGCGGTGCGCCGTGGCACGAACCCCCCCCCAGCACTACCGGGGGGGTTCGTGCATTACCGGGGGGTTTCGTGCAGCCCGCACTGGGTGCCGCCAGCGGCTTAGAACACCCCCCCCTTGCCGCTTTACCGGGGGGGTTCGTGCAGGCCGCATTGGGTCCTCCCCTGTCGCTTTACAGGGGGGTTTCGTGCGGGCCGCACTGCGTCTACCTGGGCTCCCCCCCCCTGTGGGAGCGGGGGGGTGGGAGTGGGGGGTGGGTTGGGGGGGGGCAGGGGGCCGTTGGGAAGGGTGGCTCCCTGTCGAAGTGTGGCGTGTGCTCGCCTTGTGTTCTCTATTCGCGTCTGCTCGCCTTTGTTCCGCCGCAGCCTCTCGTATTGTGGCTCGTGGCCACAATACGAGAGGCTGCGGCGCAACTCCCAAGAGCCGCTGTGGAGGGTCGACAGCACGGCCGCGTAGAGAAGAGCAGTGCCGCCGTGTTCCGGCACGGCCCTGGGATGCAATGCCGCCGCCGTGTTCCGGCCCGTCCTGGTAAGATTCGCGCGTCGGGGCTGGGGTTTGCGCGTGCCGGGAGCGCGCCGCTTACGGAGGGGTTGCGTCCTTACCAGGGGGTTTCGTGCAGCCTACCAGAGGAGGTCGTGTTTACCGGGGGGGTTCGTGCAGGCTCGCACCGGGAATGGCGCCAGCTCGAACCCCCCCCGGAGAGATTTCCGGGGGGGGGGGTTCGCCCCGCACCGGGCACCGCCGACATGTATGGGGGATTCCGACCCCGGGGACCCGCAGGGCCCCCCCCCTTGTACATAGGTGGTGCCCCCCTCCCAGGAACCCTCCGGGACCCGCCGCCGAGGCTCAGAGCAGCCCTAAATCCGCCCAAGATTGTTTACAGATGGCCCAAGAGCACGCCAAGACGCACCAAGAGGACCCCAAGAGCGTTCCAAGACGGCCCAGGAGGCCCCCAAGGGTACCGTAGAGGCTTCCGAAAAGGTCCTCGAGAAATTCGAATCTTTCACAAACCAGCGGGAAATTTGTATTTTTGGCCTCAGAGGCCCTCAAGACGGCCCAAGAGGCCTCCCAGAAGGTCACCAAAAGGCAAAAAACAGCAAATTTCTTTTTGGAAAACGTGCGTTTTTGGCATATTCACTTCTTCGGTCCTAACAGCGCCCAAGACGGACCCAAAGGCCCCCAAGACGGCCGTAAGACGACCCAAAAGGCCCCCAAGAGGGCCCCAAGACGGCCCAAGAGAGCTCCAACACGGCCCATGTGAGCCCCCCCGACGGCCCACGACGGTCCTCAGGGAGCCCCAAGAGGGCCACAGAAGGCACCCTCGACGGCCCAAGAGGGCCCCAAGAGGGCCCCAAGACGGCCCAAGCGCCCTAGACGGTCCAAGAGGGCCCCGGGACGGGCCAAGAGTGCCCCAAAGAGCCCCAAAGAGCCCCAAAAGGACCCCCAAGAAGGTCCCAAGAGGCCCCCAAAGACTCCCAAAACGGTCCCAGGAGGCTTCCCAGTAGTCGGGAGGTCTCGCTTCGACGTCCTGCGCGAGGCTCCCAGAAAAGGCTTCAAGAGGCTCCCGATTCACGATCCATCTCAGGGCTTCAGAGGCCTCACAGAAACATGCCGCGTGGCCCACAGAAGCACCCAAGACGCCCCGAACTCACGATGCAGGTCAGGGGTGTATTTATTGCCATGGGCGGGGCGGCGGGATGCGAACGTTGGCTCTGGAACCGTCGGTGGAGCTCCCTGTTGATACGATTCGTGTGAGGAGACAGTCGACATACGCGTGGGGGGGGGGGACGTGACGTTATGCAAATCCCCACACTCAGGCCGTACGTGAAACGACATCCCTCTGGGGCACGATTCGTGTGTTGGGTGTGCCGAGATGGGCGGAGCGACGCCGTGCGAACTTTGTCCCTGGACCCGAAAGAAAGAGGAGCTCCCAGGGGGACAAGATCCGTGTGAGTGCCGTGCCGAAATTGACGGGGGGGCGCCATGCGAACCCCGCCTTCATCTGGGGCCGTAGGTGTCGCGTCCATCCGCATGATCGGTATTTTTTCACCTCGAGCTGAAGCCAGTTGTGGGTCACTGCTTCAGTGGAGCTGTGACCTTCTCAAGGGATGTGGCTGTTGAGAACGCCCTTCTTGGGGCTCATTGTGGGCCTCTGCGTTTTTTTGTCGCGCTGAGGATGCACTTCCTTGGGCCCTCTCTTTCTGTCGTTATCTTCGGGCTTTCTTGGGGCGCCTCTTGGGGCCCTCCTGTGCTTCGTTCTGGAGCCTGCTTGGAGCTCTTTCGGGGCCACGCTTGGGCCCCCCTTAGCCTCTCTCGGAGAACTCATTGGATATTCTTGGGTGCCCTTTGACCCTGTCTTGGGCTCCCCTTGGGGTCCTCTTGGGCTCTTCCCAGGGCGGCTCGTCCCTGGGATCTCTGAGTTCCGTGACGCCTCGGACTCTCTCGGTCTTTTGTCGTATCGTGCATTGGATTGCATTGCATTCCATTGGGCTGCTTTCCGTTGCGTGTGCAATTGCATTGTTTCGTGATCCACATTGGACTCATGAGCATCGCTTTCCTTTGCTTTGCATTGCATTCATAGCCTTGCATGTGTTTGGCTCAACTGGCTTGCGTAGCTTCGAATTGAATACTGGAGAGGCCTTGATGCCGGTGCCGCCGACCCTGAACGACGACGGCGGCGACGACGACGACGACGACCAAGGGGGGTCGCTCCCCCCTGTGGAGGGGGGGACTGGCCCGTAGGGGGGGGGGCTCCCGCATGGGACGCTTGGAAGGGGGGGCAAAGCGGCTCTCTCCCCCCGGTTCTTGGGGGGGTCCCGGGGACCCTCCGCCACATATTCGGGATCGGCAGAACAATAACAGGAGCCCCACGGGCCCCAGGGCACCACCCCCCGGGACAACCCCCCAGGACCACCCCCCGAGACCACCCGCCGGGACCACCCCCCGGGAGTTGCCCCGGGACATCCCCTCCGCTGGGGAAGGGATCAAGGGAAGGTGCTTCCCTTCGTTGTTCGATTCGATTTCGTATTGGCTGGATCGGTTGAGGAGGAGGGCCCGGGGAAAGGGGGAAGATGGCGAGGGCGACGACGACGACAACGACGACGGCGACGGCGACGACGACACCGACGACGACAAACGGAAGAGCGCCTCACACACGCCGACAGGGTCGGCGGATTAAAGAGCATATGTCATTGTCGGTGCTTGGGTTCTGTTCGGCCAGCATTATGGATGCTTCTTGCACCTCATGCTTACACCATCAATGGGTAATCACTTCAGTGGATACGGGACCTCCTCAAGGGATGGGGTCGACTAGAACCTAAGCGCGCGCGAAGCGCGCGCGTGTTTCTAGTATATATATATATATGTAGATGTATTTGTATCTGTGTATACCTGTACCTACGTATACGTATGTGTATGTATATGCATATATATGTTTGTGTACATATCTGTATAACATGGACACGATGTTAAACACGGTGCGGGCCTGCCTGCTTTGTATTTACTCAATGTGAGCACTACTCTCCTCTCTCCTTTCCTGATTAGCTGGACCTTTTTCTCCCGCCTTTGGTGTAGCATACAGGACTGCATAATGTGATACTTGATGTTTTGCTGCCTGCAATCGGAGCGTTTCTGGTGTCTCGACAAAGTGCTCCAGCTGCAGCATTGGCTACGTTTTAGGATCGACGCTTTGCTCCCGTCATTCAGAGTGGCGCTCTCGCCCCAGCGCGTGCCACAACTCCTGAATCCAAGTCCTGCATGGTCGTTGTCGCCCCGCTCCTTTCCCCTCCTCCGCCCTCCACTGGTCTTCCTGCTCCTCCTTCTCCTCCTGCTCCTGCTCCCGCTGCCGCTGTTCCTCCTCGCCCTCCTCCTTTCTCGGCCTCGTCATCTTCCTCATGCTGCTCCTCCTCCTCCTCCTCATTCTCCTCTTTCCTAATCATCTTCCTCCTGCTCATCCTCTTGCTCGTCCGCCACCTCTTACCCCTCCTCAGTGTGCACAGCTCCCGTGGCCTCACTGCGCACAGCACGATAAGGGGCCCGTCGGCGGATAGAGAGACCCCAAGAAGTGATGGAAAGGGATGGGTGGGTCCGGTAGGGCATCAGATCTGGCGTGAGCGCCCCCAGCTTGGCCTCTCCCCTCTCTCCCATTGGCCTCCCCCTCTCTCCCGCCCATGTGTGTGTGTGTGTGCTCTTCTCTGGCTCACCGACTTTTCAGGCTTCGAGGCTGTGCGCGAGGCCGTGGCGCCAAGCAACTCTATGTCTATGTGTGTGTGTGTGTGTCGGGTGGCGCCCGGCCTGCTCCCCTGGGCCGTCAGCGACGTGGGGACCGGCACACTCCTGCTCGTGTCGATCTTCGGGGCGGTGGTGCTGGCCGTGGCGGCGTGGGAGGAGAGCGTCGCGTGGCTCGCCGAGGCTCCGCTGCGCCGGGGCGCCCCGAGGAAATCGCGGCGGGCGCTCTCGGCCCGACCCCGCGGCTCCCCATGGGGGCCCGCGCGGAGCGCCCCGCGGCGCAAGCCCGAGCGAGCGGCGGGCCTCGCGCCGCCCGGGGGGTTCGGCTGGAGCGTGGGCGCTCCAGGCCCTCAAAATTCCCTCTGGGCCCCCCCCCCCCCCCCCTCGGTGTCGTTTCACCAATCCCCAGCCCCATCCTCATCCCCCTCTCGAGGCCCCCCACCAAGTTGCCTCCCCCCAGTTGGGGATCCACCCCTCCGACGACCCGAAGGGGACGGCCCAGCTCCCCATCGAGAGGGGGGCAGATCGGCCAGTGGGGCCCAGGCCACGCCGCTGGGGAGGGGGGTCGGTGAAGCGCAAAAAAATACGAACAACTTCCCCAACAGTTCCTCCCGCAGTGCCTTCCGCAGTGCCCGGAACATTCCTTCCGCCGTGCCGTCCTCCTCCTCCTCCTCCTCCTCCTCCTCCTCCTCCTCCTCCTCCTCCTCCTCCCCCTCCCCCCTCCTCATCCTCCCTCCTCCTCTCTCCTCCTCCCCCTCCTCCTCCTCCTCCTCCGCCTCCTCCTCCTCCTCCCCTCCTCCTCCTCCTCCTCCTCCTCTCCTCCTCCTTCCTCCTCCTCCTTCCCCTCCTCCTCCTCCTCCTCCTCCTCCTCCCCCCTCTTCCTCCTCCCCGGCGCCGCACGCGCGCCCTCCGTGCGCGCCGCCAGCAGCAGGACGATACGCAACAATTCCTTCCGCAGGGCCCCGACATTCCCTCCGCCGCCGCGGGGCCCCGCGGGCTCCCGAGGGCCAGGCGGGGCCCGCGCGAGGGGAGGCCCCCCCCCCCCACGGCGCGAGGGCCCCCCGGTGGAGCCGCGGGTCGAGGGCCTCCAGGGCGGGCCTCTGGGGGCGGAGGTCGCCCCCTCAGCGCCGTCCAAGCGTGCTTCTGCAAGGGGGGAGGAGGGGGAGGAGGGGGAGGAGGGGGAGGAGGGGGGAGGAGGGGGTAGGAGGGGGGATGGGAGAGGAGAGGGATGGGGGAGGGGGGGAGGGGTGGGAGGAGGGGGGAGGGGGGGGTGGGAGGAGGTGGAGGAGGGGGGGGGGGGAGAGGGGGAGGAGGGGGAGGAGAGGGGAGGAGGAGGGGGGAGGGGGAGGAGGGAGGAGGAGGGGGGGAGGAGGGGGGAGGAGGGGGAGGAGGGGGAGGAGGGAGGGGGAGGAGGGGGAGAGGAGGGGGAGGAGGGGGGGGTGCGTCGCCCCTCCCCCCAGGGGCGGCGTGCGCGCCGAGGGATCTTACAGTGGAAGCTCCGCGGCGGGCACTGCTTTCTGGCCGTGCCGCTCGGGAAGCGATGAACTACAAGATGGTTGTACCATGTCCCATTCAGCGATTTCAGAAGCCAGGGTCATCGGCGTCAAGGCAAGAGCCCACCGTGTGAAGACGGGGTCGAGATCTGCGGCCGTGTCTTCTCTTCACGGCGTGGTGTCTTTTGTCAAGGCGTCGGATGTCCCAGAGGTGGCAAGCGTTGTGTCGACCTGGCCGCACTGGGCGCTCTACCCATCGGCAGGGGTGCTCGGGCTGACACAAGCGGGAAGCTAAAGGGGGGCACCACCCAGTGATGCGTCGTCGCTGGGGGAAGGGGGTCCAGGAGGAGGAGAGGAGTCAAGAGCCTCGTCGGCGAGGCCCTTCCCGAGCCGGGCCAGTGGGTTTCCGAGCTGTGTCCAGGCTGGCCGCGCGGATCCGCTACCAGGCCTGAACCCGTCTGGCCTCCGCCGGATTGCGAATCCAGCTGCCGGGTTCCGCGCATGGCCAGGGGGGCCCGGAGCAAGGCCCACAGCTCCCACGACTTGCCGCTTTTCTCCGCACGGTGGGCCCCTGGACCTCCCGCCGCCCCTCCTCCAGGACCGTCTTGTTCCTCGTCGGGCGATCTCTTGACCGTCCAGGGCCTAGTGGCGACAACCCCCACGCGCGGTGTTCTCGAGTCGCCAGGGAGGTTGTTGCTGTAGGCCTCCTGGATGGGATCGGAGTAGATGGGGTCGGAGGATCGCGCCGCATCGCCGATGCGTCGGCGACGCATCGGCCATGCGGCTCGATGCGGAGCCCAATGCTCTCCATGCCGACGTCGTCGATGTATCGGCGATGCGGCGAGATCCTCCGACCCCATCTACTCGGACCCCACCTAGGATTAGGTCGGGCAAGTCCCCCCTACAGGCGAATTTCGGAGGAAACAACCCAAAATAGTCTAAACATATTCGAACATAATCAAGCATAGTAGAGACGTCGTCCCCCCAGGCTATTTTGGGACTATTTTCGAGTATTTCCCCTGTAGAGGGACACGCACGACTTAAATCTATCAGGCCGTCGCATCCTGCTGGGGGTCCCGCTCTCGAGGGAGAAGGGCTTCATGTCGCCCCAGGCCCCGACGTTGATGAGCTGCGGAGTTTGTCGAGAAGTTTCAAAACGGCGACCATCGCCATTGACGGATACTACCCAGGGCATTTCGCCTTCCTGTGGGATGGGGCCCTGTCGGTCCTGTCGGGGGTCTTCACGGCCATGAATATCCTTGGCGACGCCCCGTCAGCTCTGAGGCAGCTCGTCATTGCCCTGTATTGAAAGCCTCTCGAAGGCCGACGGCCAATAGGTTTCTATTAATCCACCACTAGGCTCTACTCTAAGAACCTGGCGAACGTCTGCGGGAGGTGGGAATCTGTCAGTGCTGCCAGTCCTTTCTTTTCAATGGCCCCGCATAGATCTACGACTGATGCGGTATGGCGGCAGGCTGTGCGTAACGACCTTCGCCATAGTCAAGGCAAGTACATTGGGGTCCTGCGTGCTGATCCCAAACAGTGCTATGAACATGTTTCCCATTCGGTTTTGTGGAATGAGTCTGGGCAGTGTGCTTTCCCCGCCTATGTGGTCATATTCACCCTTGCCAGCCATTGCTGGCCTCATCGCCTCATGATGGACTCGGCTCTTAGTGACCCCCTTGACCCTCCTAGGGGGATTGTGGCCGGGTCTTCGACGGCCACATGTGATATTCAGGCGTATACGCTCCCATCGACCAAGACCCTTGAATTGGGCGAAGATGAGGGTCTCACTATCCACATTGACGACGTCACGACATCGGTGGCCATGCCGACCGTGATGAGCTGTTTGAACGGCCTTGCGCACCTCGCTGGGCAGTTTTTGGACATTACTATTAACACGCAGTTTACTACCACCTCCAGCGAGGTGGCCAGGTAGGCCCCAGGGATGCTAGGCAAATATGGACACACCATCGCTGGCCATGGCGTCAACCTCGGAGTGGATATTACCTTCGGTCGTCCCCCTTCGGCCAAAGGGGCCAGGGCCAAATCGAAGGCCCGCTGGAAGCAAGGCCTCAAGAGGCTCCCCTTGATCAAAAGGATGAGAGGGACGACGGCCAGTAAAGGCAATATTTTTGTGGGTGGTAGCAAGCCGAGCCTTATGTACGGAGAAGAGGTGCAAAGGCACTCTCCCAAATAAATCAGTGCCCGTCGAGTCCAGATGGCCAAAATCACAGTCCTATGGGGCGCTGGTGCCAACATAGACCTATGCTGGTATCTGGCGCCCTCCAGGGATCCAGTTGTGCACGCCGCCGCCACCCTCCGCAGGTAGAGTGCCGAGTGGTGGCCAGGTGCGGACGCCCGGCTTTCGGCAACTGATAACCAGACGGCCCGCGAATTGCGGGAAGCTTTCCATGTGGCGCGTGAGAGATTTGAGTGTCGTCCCACCCCATGCCTCTGGCACCGCGTGGCCTCCAGTCCCATTCACGATATGTTGTTTTGGTGCAAGAAGGCTGGTTGGGATTTTTTGGGCCCCGCCCGTGCCCGCGCGAAAGGGGGTACCGTTTGTCAATTTGACTGTCCTCCCCCCTAGTCCAGCTTCAGAGCCTTTTAGGACAGGACATCCAACATCAGCAGTTGCATAGAGAGGTGTGCTACACAGAGCAAGAGGCCCGTTCTAACAGGGCTGGCCAGATCCGCCTTATGGGGTTTGTGGACCCATGTCAGCAGGGCCTGGCACTCGTCTAAGCACTGTGTTGAGGATAAAAGCAGGTCCAGCGCCAAATATTTTACAGGATGCTACTGCGCTGGCACGGTCCCCCACCAGCGAGGATACAAAGTTTCGCCAAAGTGCCAGCATTGCGGAGCCCCTGGCACCAAGTACCACAGGGTTTGGGTGTGCCCGTTCGGGAATGACCGTCGCCAGGAGCTGGACCCCGAGCTCGTCGATGCGGCTCGAGAAACTGGACCCATGGACCCCTTCTTCAGTTGTCTCTGGATCCCCTGTTCCCCCATTGAAAAGCGTTATCCTTGTGACGATGTGATCGAGTATTTAGACAGAGGAGGTTGAAATCTATCAGTTTGTTCGAACACTCCAGTGATGGAGATCTCTATTGACGGCTTCGTTGTTCACCCCCCTCCTTGCGAAGGGGTGGTGGTGTGCTGCTGAAGTCATTGAGAACGGAGACCTCAAGAGAGCTATCCGAGGTGTTTTGCCATCTTATGTTTCGTGCACTGCCAACTTAGCAGAGCACCATGGCCTCCTTCATGTCTGTGCTCACCAACAAGTGCCATCGGATGCGGGGCCAACACGTTTTTTCAGGATTGCGGTGCCGTGGTACATGGAGCCGCGACTGCAGTTCGGTCCAGAGATGGCAGGAAGTCACAGGCTGGACATTGGAAACAGATATACATTCACACGTACATTGAGGATGGGTGATACATGATACCAAAGCTCACCAAGACCAGGGCAGGGGAGATAGGACGTTGGAGGAGCACAAGGGGGTCATCGGGAACGGGTGGGCCGATATCCTTGGCTTGCCACACGTCAGGTCTTACCTAATGGTGTCCAGACAGGTGAAGCAGCATATAAGCTCAGGCTGGACGGTTTTTCTGCTTTCGTTTCCCTGTTGGAGCCCTGGGGCCGAGCGCGCGACCAAGGTCTCCTGCCACGGTTCTCTGCCCGTCCGTTCCTGTTGTACCGCCCCATGAGTTATGGGCAGGCGTGATCAGTTCGGCGTGATCAATTCGAAAGGAGCCGCATTTCTCTTGTTGGGGAAACCGGTATGGGTCATGCACCACTGGTCGTGCTGCTCATCTGGTTGCTCCATGTACGACCCACAAGATTGCCCTACTAAGAATGCTGCGGAACGGACTTTTGCCCTACCCCAAGGGGGGTAGTTTTTGTTTCTCTTTCTCTCAAACCATGGAGGGTCATCGAGCAATCGCCGAAACACTTTGAGCGTGATCCCTCTGAGCGTGCCACTTTCATATCAACCTCCGCAACAAGTGGGATCGGCCTCCGATCATGGATTGGGTTCGCCCCTATGAGCCTTATTTGTAATATGTGTGTATGTATGTACGTATGTATGTATGTATGTATGTATGTATGTGTGTATGTGTGTATGTGTGCATGTGTGTATGTGTGTATGTATGAATGTGTGTATGTGTGTATGTATGTAATGTATGTATGTAATGTAATGTAATGTAGTGTAAGGTAATGTAATGTAATGTAGTGTAATGTAATGTAATGTAATGTATTGTAACGTAATGTAATGTAATGTGATGTGATGTATGTATGTGTGTATGTATGTATGTATGAATGTATGCATGCATGCATGCATGCATGCATGCATGCATGTATATCTGTATGTATGTATGTATGTATGTAAGTAGGTAGGTACGTATGTATGTATGTATGTCTGTATGTATGCATATATGTATGTATGCATATATGTATGTATGTATGTATGTAGGTAGGTAGGTAGGTAGGTACGTATGTATGTATGTATGTATGTATGTATGTATGTAGGTAGTTAGGTAGGTATGTATATATGTATGTATGTATGTATGTATGTATGTATGTATGTATGTACGTACGTACGTACGTACGTACGTACGTACGTACGTACGTACATACTTACGTAGTATGTATGTATGTATCTATGTATGTAGGTAGGTCGGTAGGTAGGTCGGTATGCATGTATGGAGGAGGAGGAAGAGGAGGAGGAGGCGGAGGAAGGGGCCCGCTTTCCACAGGAGGGGCTTTGCACGCAGCCGCCATGCCAGGCCAGGGCCATCCTGGGCCCCGGGATGGTGTGCAGACCCGCCTGGTCGGTCGGCATGGCCTGTACAGCGTGCCGGGGCCCGGGCTGGTTCTCGTAAGGCACGGCGGTTTTTCGCTACGAATGAACGGGGTCCTGAGGTTGTGAGGATCCCCGGGCTCGAAGTAGGGCGAACACGTTCGGCTCGAAACGAATGAGACGCCAGGACCTCAGGGGAGGCGCTTTTTGCGCAGGGGTGTTGGCCCTCCGGACGGCCAGCCCCGCGAGGTGTTCCTGTGTGCCCTGCCGGTGATCGCCCTCCTCGCGCTGCCTGCGGCGGGGTTGGCCTTCGTGCTCCAGGGGGAGCCTCCGCGGCCGCACGTGTTTGGCGACGGCTGGGGCGGTGTTTGGCGGCGGCTGGGGCGGTGTTTGGTGGACGGGGCGGTGTTGGGGACGACTGGGGCGGTGTTTGCCGACGGCTGGGGCGGCGTTTGGCGACGGTTGGGGTGGTGCTTGGCGACGGTTGGGGCGGTGCCTGGCGACGATCACGTGGTGGACGCGTGCGGGCGAAGCCTGCGGGTAGATTTTTGCGCCGCGCTGGCGCGGCGGTGTCCCCGGCGCGGACGTTCAAAGTTGAAGGAGGCGACCCGATTCTTGTTCTGTTTGGGGCGGCCCTGATGGGATTTCTCCGTGACGCGAATGGGTCCTCCTCCTCCTCCTCCTCCTCCTCCTCCTCCTGCGGGGCTGCGATCTGCGACACAGTCTCCACTTTCGCGGGCCCCTGGGAGGTCCAGCGGAGTGGCGTCCCACGCAGACCACCATGAGGCCTCGCCGTCTCTGGGGGGCTGCGATCTGCGAGGCGGTGGCCACTTTCGTGGGCCCTCGGGAGGTCCAGTGGAGTGGCGTCCTGTGCAGACCACCGTGGCACCTCGCCGTACCTTGGGGGGGCTGCGATCTGCGAACATGTTGCCACTTTCGTGGACTCCAGCAGAGTGAGGTCCTACGCAGACCGCCGTGAGACCTCGCTGTCTCTGGCGGGGGGGGGGCGGGTGCGATCTGCGAGACGGTCGCCCCCAGGCTTGGACTCTTTGTCGCGGGGGCCGCCGGCGGACACGTGGCCGCCCGCCTCCCAGACTCGCAGTGCCCGCGCGGGGACACACAGGAGACCGCCCGCGAAGTTGGCACACGCGCTCGGCCTTGCCAAGTTCCTGCGCGACCGAAGGGGGGAGAGCCGCCAGCGGGTTCTGGACGCAGCTTTGGCAGCGCCGTCGGCGACGCGCGCAACGAGCGATCGCTACTCGAGTATGCCAGGGTGCGCGCGCAGATGGCACGCAAGGCTGCCCCGTCATTTAGCGCGCGGCGCTGTTGCATCACACGGCGCAGGGCGCTGGAGCGGCACGGAGCGCATTGCGTTGCTTTCAGTCGCCCCTCAGCCCCCCCTCCTCAGTCTCCCGCTGCGGCACCACGGGCGCGCCCAGCAGATGTAGCGCGTGGCGCTGTTACCCTCGACAGTATTTTCCCCCCGTTGTTCTCCATCCTCCCTGTCCTCCCCTCCTCTTCCCTCCTCCTCCTCCTCCTCCTCCTCCTCCTTCACTCCTGTACCCCGTTCTATGTTGCGCAGGTGTGGTGCGTGGCCCGACGTTGTTTCGCGACGCCGTCCCGACGTTTGCATGTCTCGCAACAGTTCTTATTCAAAACGGGTTCATTGAACTAGTCGCCTCACCAGCAGAAGGGGTTGGGTACGTCTCGGGTATTTTCATGTGACCTGCGAGCTGCAAGTGGGGGAGTGCTTCGGGAGAGGCGCTTGACCTCCTTGGGCGGGGGGTCTGGGCGTGGGAAGATTGGCCCCCATGTCATGCATTTCCCCGCGAAGAGGGGGTGGCATCATGATGGTTGTACGCGGCATGACGAAGCGTGGCGCGTGAGGGTAATGCGATTGTCGCTGTCGTTGTCGGTGAGTACCCGTTCCAGAGGCAACGAACTGTTGTTGGATCCCCGATGCCAGTGCCCGACTTGTTTTCATGGGAAATTCTCCCCCCCCGCGAGGAATCGTCTTTATCTTCGTGCGGGGGGAGTCTCCCTGCCCAAACAACGTTGTTTGCCCTTATAACAACGGTTCCCGCCTGATACTTCCCGCGCAATTTATGTAGTGATCGCGCGCGCGCGAGATTTCCTCGCAGTGGACTCGAACATGGCCCTCTCGCTCGGGGTTTCTTACACGGCTTCTCGACGTTCAGGAATCGCGTTCTCGCACGAAACGTCCGCACAGTTGATTCAGGGACCATGCTTGCCCAAGGCTTGTTCGCAATTTTGCTTCAATGCCCCGTCCGTTCGACCCCCCACCTAGGTCACGCCAGCCCGCCCTGCCCGTTATGGCCCGCACGTTGGTTAGGATCCGCCCTTTCGGAGGCCCCCAGAGGCCGAAAGTGGCGAATAACGCGCGTGTTGTTTTCCTTGATGCCCTGGAGTTTTGGGTTCTCCTCGGCTGTGGCCAAAAAGTGCCCCCGGGATCTCCGCAGAGGCCACCGCGGCCTCCAGACCCCCCCCCCCCCGCGAAACCCTGAGGGCTTCAGGGCTCGCGACGTGAAGCGCGCCTCTGGGCAGGCCATGGGTCTGGGTCCCCTTCAGGGACGCGTTCAGCAGCTCGCGCAAACGACCCCCCCCCCCTCCTCCTCCTCGTCCTCCTCGTCGTCCTCCTTCTCCTCCTCTTCCTCCTCCTCCTCCTCCTCCTCCTCCTCGTCGTCCTCGTCGTCCTCCTCCTCCTCTTCCTCCTCCTCCTCGTCCTCCTTCCTCCTCCTCCTCCCCCTCCTCGTCCTCCTCCTCCTCCTCCGTTCCTTTTCCTTATACATAACTTCTCCTTGCCGCACCCCGAGGCCAGTTTTTAGGGCGGGCCGGGCGTTTTGCTTGAGATTTCTTAACCATGTATGATTCTGAAGCGTAAGAATTGGCAACCGTTCACAGACAGAGGGCGGGGCGTTTTCAAAATGTGGCTCTCGCCTGAGCGCGGCGCACATTCGTTTTACAATTTCGCAGAAGTTTTACGGATTGAGAGCGAGTGGTTTTCAAAATGTGGTTCTCGCCCCAGCGCGGCGCACATTCGTTTTCACAAATTTGCAAGAGTTTCACAGGTTGAGGGTGGTTCCTTTCAAAATGTGGTTCTCGCTTTAGCGCAGCGCGCATTAGTTTCGAAAACGCTGCAAGAGTTTAACGGATTCCCATCAACAACGTGCCAGAAATGGTATTTTGAAAGGATTCAGGAGCATGCGGGTGCAACAGTTATGTTGGTTCGCTGTGTTGATGTCCCAGGAACGGTGTTCTGGCACGATTCTGGATTATCAAGACGCAACAGTCAGGTTCATCCGTGGCGTTGGAATCCCGAGAACATTTTTTTGGTTGTTTCAGGGTCTTCGAACGGTTGTCTTCCAAAGAGGCAGTTCCGTCAATGGAAATGAACCGTTCTAGGGGCCTATGAAGATGGAGCTTAGAGGGAGGGAGGGTTATTTCCAAATATCGTTGATGACTCTTGGGTTTCCACTGGTCCTCCTCCTCCTCCTCCTCCTCCTCCTCCTCCTCCTCCCTCTTCCCTCCTCCTCCCTCTTCCCTCCTCCTCCCTCTTCCCTCCTCCTCCTCCTCCTCCTCCTCCTCCTCCTCCTCCTCCTCCTCCTCCTCCTCCTCCTCCTCCTCCTCCTCCTCCCCCTGCCCCCCCGACCAGGAGCTGTCGCCGCTGGCGGGGGGCTTCTTCCTGGGCACCGCCCGGGGCGCCCTGCTGAGCCTCTGCTGCGAGGCCGTCGGGCTCGCCCTCCTGGCCTGGGCCGCGCGCCTCCCCGGCGGCGCGCAGGCGCCGACGCGGCGCTGGGAGAGGGGGGGGGCTCCTCCTCCTCCTCCTCCTCCTCCTCCTCCTCCTCCTCCTCCTCTCCTCCTCCTCCTCCTCCTCCTCCTCCTGCTCCTCCTCCTCCTCCTCCTCCGCCTCCTCCTCCTCCTCCTCCCTCCTCCTCGTCCTCGTCCTTCTCCTCCTCCTCCTCCTCCCTCCTCCTCCTCCTCCTCCTCCTCCTCCTCCTCCTCCTCCTCCTCCTCCTCCTCCCCCTCCTCATTCTCCTCCTCCCTTTCGGATGGGGGGGATGGGGAGGACGAGGGGGAGGGAGAGGGACAAGGGGAGGAAGTTGGGAAGGTCGGGGGGAGGGGGAGGGCCGGGGGGGGGGAGGGGGAGGACGAGGAGGGAGAGATGAGGGGGGAGAGAGGAGGGAAGGGAGGGGAAAGAAGAGAGGCCGGAGGATAGTGGACCCCCTCGGGCTTTTGAGTGTTTGTGTTGGGTTTTAGTTTTTGGCATGATCTTGGTATTTCTGTATATAAATTCATTTCCCATCTTAATTTTTTTTCGCGCTGCCTTCATTCTGATAGTACTTTTACACTGTAGGATGATCATGGTCGTCATTTTTTCTTTATATTTTTTTTTTCTTCTCTCTCTCTCTCTCCGCTGGGTGGACTAAAAGTGTACACGCGTGACATGTATAGGTACCCCCCTCCCCCCAAATTCAAAATTGATGGGTTTGGGCGGTAGGCCAAAGGCCAGGGTCAACATGTGGACACTTCAACTTTGGGTTTGGGGGGAGGGGTGTGAAGCAAGGGCATTTCGCAGTTGTGGTTGTTATCATGTTGCATCGCCTTACCGCCATGGGTGTGGACACTTTTTGTGCGGGCGCCGTCTGGGTTAGTTGTGTTCGGTGGTTTTGTAGGCGTTGACGTGCGTGCATTCGTGCGTGCATTCGTGCACGCGTGGGCGCATGTGCCTGCGTTCGCTGGGACACAACATCAGGTGACCTGGTGGGCGTGTATGAAGGCACGATAGATCCGCAGGACCACTGCGGGACAACCCATGGGACAATCCAGTGTGCAGCCACAGGGAAACCAACAGGACAGCCCCCGGGACAACCGCGGGACGACCCGCGGGACAGCCACGGGACAACCCGCAGGACCACAATATGAAGGGTCTAGGGGCCCACCCCCATCTGCCTCAAATGACAAGCGCAGCCGACGCCTGGTTCCACCGATAAGTCGTGTGATTCCGTCTCGCACCGCGCCGCTTGGTGGTCGTCGGCTTCAGAACTGCAGGGATATGGCAGAGCTGGACAGAACTGGTCGTAGAACTGGCCATAGAACTGGCCCTCACACCTCGTAGTGCACCTCACGTCAAAATAATCGTTCTGGACAAGCATCACAACAACTTTGGTGCAATTGGCCACACTACCCGCTTTGGTTTGATCTCTTCTCCCTTCCCGTCCCCATCCTTCCCAATCTCCTCCGCCACCGTTTTCTCCACCTCCGCCTCCTCCTCGTTCTCCTTCTCCTCCTCTGCTTCCCCCCTCTTCTTCCTGCAGAAAGCAAACACGAAAGTTGATTTCCCGTTTGTTTGTTTCGGTGATGGGTTGGGGGGGGGGAGGAGGAGAAACTAATATGTTCCGGGTTCCCCCCTCGTCCCTCCACCTCCGCCACCTCCTCCTTATCCTTCTCGTTCTCCTCTCCCCCTTCCTCCTCCTATCCTCCGCTCCCCCCCCGACAAAAAGCCAATAACCACATCGGGAGATCAGTTTCGTGTCTTTCGTGTTTGTTGTTTTTTGGGGAAACGATGAGGAGGAGAAGGACGAGGCAGAGGAAGAGGAGGGGGTGGCGGATGCGGAGGAAAATGCGGAGGAGGAGGAGTACGAGCAGGAAGGGGAGGAAGAGGAGGAGGAGGAGGATGAAGGAAACTCAACAAAACGTACAATTTTAGTGCGACAGCCCTACGACAACACCCGCCGAAATGCGATGGGCTCCACATTCCCTCGTTCCCCAGGAAGAGGAGGGGGGTTCCACCGCTCCATCCAGTAAAAGGGTGGTTTTCTGAAGGAGACGGGCCTCGCTGAATCTGGTAGTCTGGGGCCCTTGTTTTACCACGGCACTTCGTGCTCCTAGGTGGAGTGCAGGAGTGTTCTGCGTCAGTTAATGGCACTGTTTTTCCTTTGGTCCCCTGGCAATTTAAAGCCCCATCTCAATTATGATGATGCTGATGATGCTGCTGCTGCTGCTCATGAGGATGCTGCTGATAATGATGATGATGCTGCTGATGATGCTTATGCCGATGATGAGGATGATGATGACGATGATGATGCTGATGCTGATGGTGATACTGATGCTGACGCTGATGATGACGATGATGATGAATATGCTGATTATAATGATGCTGCTGATAATGATGTTACTGGTGATGATGCTGATGTTGCTGATGGTGCGGATCATGCTAATGATGCTGATGCTGATTCCGATGATGAGGATGCTGATAATGATGACGATGATGCTGATTTAGATGATGATTTAGATGACATGATGCTGGTGATTTTGACGCTGCTGATGCTGCTGACGTGGATGATGATGCTGATGCTGATGCTGAGGCTGATGATGCTGATGATGATAATGATGGTGCTGATGGTGATGTTGATGATGGTGATGATGATTATGCCGATGGTACGAGGTTGTGGTGGTGGTGCAGATGATGCTGATGATGTTGTTGATGATGATGATGACGACGATGACGTTGATGATTAGAATGATGATGATGATGATGATGATGATGATGATGATGATGATGATGATGATGGTGGTGGCGATGATGATGATGGTGCTCATGATGCTGATTGCTGATGATGTTGTTGATGATGATGATGATGATGATGATGATGACGTGGGCGATGTTGATGTTGCTTTATGCTGATGCTGATGATGTTGATGATGATGATGATGCTGATGCTGATGCTGATGATGCTGATGATGATAGTGATGATGATGCTGATGCTGATGCTGATGCTGATGACGATGACGATGCTGCTGATGATGATGATGATGATGATGATGATGATGATGGTGGTGGTGGTGGTGGTGGTGATGCTGATGCTGATGCTGATGCTGATGATGATGCTGCTGATGATGATGTTGATGATGCTGATGCTGCTGATGCTGCGGATGCTGATGCTGGTGCTGATGTTGCTGCTGATGATGATGATACAGATGCTGATGATGATGCTGATGATGCTGTGACTGAGGAGGATGAAGCGGAGGAGGAGAAGGGGATCGGAGGCGGAGGCGGAGCAGAATGAGGAGGAGGGTGAGTAAGGTGAGGATCAGGAGGATGATGATCAGGATGCTGATGATGATGGTGGTAATGATGATGATCCTGATGCTGCTGATGATGATGATGATGATGATGATGATGAAGGTTAATGATGATGCTGATGGTGCTGATGTGGATGATGATGCAACTGCTGATGGTGATGATGCTGGTGCTGACTCCGATGATGATGACGATGCTGATGCTGATGTTGCTGATGTTGCTGATGATGATGACGATGAGGATGAGGATGAAGATGAGGATGATCAAGCTGATGATGATGTTGGTGATGATCATGATGATGTTGCTGATGCTGATGATGATGCTGCTGATGCTTGTGCTGATGATGATTCGGATGATGATGATTCGGATGATGATGATGATGATGATGATGATGATGATGATGATGATGATGATGATGATGATGATACTGCTGATGATGCTGATGATGATGTTGATGATGATGATGATGCTGACGATGATGATATTGATGCTGATGCTGATGATGCTGACGGGGATGCTGATGCTGCTAATGCTCATGATGATGACGGTGCTGGTGATGATGCTGATGAATGTTCATGATACTGATGCTGATGATGATGCTGCTGATGTTGATGATGATGCTGATGGTCAGGATAAGGCTGAGGATGATAATGAGGATGATGATGCTGCTGATGTTGATGATGATGGTGATGCTGCTGATGCTGATGACGATGCTGATGGCCAGGATAAGGATGAGGATGATAATGAGGATGATGATGAGAATTATGATGCTGATGTAACTGATGATGATTATGATGCTGACGACGATGATGATGATGCTGTTGCTGATGAGGGTGATCATGCCGCTGATGATGATGCTGATGCTGATGCTGATGATGACGATGGTGCTGATGCTGATGATGATGCTGATGCTGATGATGATGCTGATGATGATGCTGATGATGATGACGCTGCTGCTGATGCTGTTGTTTCTGACGATGATGCTGATGATGATTCTGATGGTGATGACGTGGACGATGATGATGATGCTTATTCCGATGATGCGGCTGTTGATGCTGATGCAGACGCTGATGCTGATGCTGACACGGATGCTGATGCTGATTCTGATGATGATGATGATGATGATGATGATGATGATGATGATCATGCTGATCATGATGGTGGTAATGATGATGATGACGAAGACGATGATGATGATGATGATGATGATGATGATGATGATGATGATCATGATGATGATGATGATGCTGCTGCTGATGATGAGGATGATGCTCTTGATGCTGATACTGATGCTGGTGCACATGATGATCTTGCTGATTATGATGATGCTGATAAGTATGACGATGCTAATGATGATGCTGACGATGCTGCTGATGATGATGATGCTGCTGCTGATGATGATGCCGATTATGATGATGATGATGATGATGATGATGATGATGATGATGATGATGATGATGATAATGATGATGATGATGATGATGCTGATGATGCTGATGATGATGATGATGATGATGATGATGATGATGATGATGATGATGATGCGGCTGCTGCTGCTGATGATGATGACGATGATGCTGATGATGATGATGATGATGATGATGATGATGATGATGATGATGATGATGATGATGATGATGATGATGATGATGATGATGGTGGTGGTGGTGGTGGTGGTGAGGAGGAGAAGGAGGATGAATAGGAGTATGAGGAGGATGAGGAGGATGAGGAGGAGGAGGAGGAGGAGGAGGAGGAGGCGGAGGATGAGGATGACGAGGCGGAGGAGGATGAGGAGAGAGGAGGAGGATGAACAGGGGAGGATAGGAGTGATCAGGAGGTGGAGGGGAGGAGGAGGAGGCGGAGGAAGAATAGGGACCAGGAGGACGCGGCAGATGAGGCGGAGGAGGCGGAGGAGAAGGAGGAGGGATCAGGAGGAGGAGGGGGAGGAGGATGAGGAGCATGATGATGAGGAGGAGGAGGAGGGGGAGGAGGAGCACGAGGAGTGATCAGGAGGAGGAAGAGGAGGAAGAAGGGGAGGAGGAGGAGGAGGAGGAGGAGGACTGGGAAAAAGAGGGGAAGTAGTAGGAGGGGGGGAGGAGGAGGAAAAGGAAGAAGAGGGACCTGGAGGAAGAGGAGGAGGAAGCTGATGATGAGTAGGGATTCGGGGGAGGAGAAGGAGGAGGAGGAGGCGGAGGAGGAGGAGGAGGAGGAATAATACGAAGAAGACGAGCCATACAATTATTAACAATGATATGTACACGTATTCATAACAAGCTGAATCTGTGATAATACTAGTAGTAAAGTCGCTTCATTACTGCTGCAACTAATAATGCTACTAAGGAGAACTAAGGAGACTGAGGCGAACACCAGTGCTACTGATACAATTTCTATGTGCAGTAATATTTTTTAACCACTAATCACACTAAGAAGACTAACGCGAATACTTACCGTTAGAATCAGAAGAAGGCATCGGACACGGAGACTACGAAGAGTAGTAACCAGCACGCTACTACCACAACTGAGAAACATAGTACTAGTAATAAGAGCAAACGTATGACTAAGAGTAAGACTAGTGATACTACGAATATGGCTAATACGATTGATACTCGTAATAATCAACACAAGCATACGATCACTAGTGATACTAGCAACAAGTATAACAATACTGCTAGGCATTGTTAATGCTCATGCTAAGGGGGCCAGTGCTTACCATACTGAGGGCGGTAAGTATAATGATGCCAGTGCTGATAGGAAGGCAACAATGACGCACATAATACGAATACACCTGCTAATCATACCACTACGCCGGATAATACTTATTACAACTTCTAAATGGAAGAATACTACTACAGCGAATGCAAACTACTACCATTTAAGAGTGGTGATATGAGTAACCGTAGCAAACACATAAAAGCACGATTACTCATTGTAAAAAATACTTCCAATCTCTAATACCAATATTACGAATGCGACTACTACGAATACTAATGATACTTATATGAAGACGAATGCCACTACTAATCCACATGGTAATGCGAATCCGATTTGTAATACAAGAATGATCACAGCACTAACGAGCATAATAAGCATACTATTACTAGTACCACCCATGATACGAATCAGAAAAAAAGAGGAGGAAGGCGAGGAGGGTGAGGAGGAGGAGGAGGAAGAGGAGGAGGGATCAGGAGCAGGTCGAGGAAAAGGACGAGGAGTAGGAGGACGATGCGGGATCAGGAGGAGCAGGTGGAGGATGAGCAGGATGAGGAGCAGGAGGAGGATGAGCAGGAGGAGGAGGAGGAGGAGGAGGAGGACGAGGACGAGGAGGAGGAGAGGAGAGGAGGAGGAGGAGTTGGAGGAGGAAGAGGATGACGAGGAGGATGACGAGGAGGAGGGGGAGGAGGAGGAGGAGGAGGAGGAGGAGGAGGAGGAGGAGGAGGAATGGACAGAAGTAGGACCAGCGCGTGGATCGAGGGGTGCTCCTGTGGCGAGGGCCCCCTCTGCGAAGCCCCTCTCGTGCGGATGCTGGGGTGCCCCCCCCCCCCATAAGGGTGCCGACGAAGCCCCCGACGAGGCGTGGCAGCCTGTCGGTCATGCCAGCTCGCTCAGCCGTGCGCCGCCCTGTCTTGTTCTCCTCTCCTCCCTTCTTTCGTTGTCCCCGCCGCTTTCGCCTTCACCTTCACTTTCACCTTCGCCTTCGCCGTTGCCGTCGCCGCCCGGAAGACGTGACGTTCGATGTTGTTCAAGCGGGCTTCCCAGAAGTCCCGACCCTTTCCCCATGGCCGTATTTTTGTATCAGGGGTAGTTTTTTTGTTGCAAGGCCTGAGGCTTGGCGAGCGCCCCCAGAGGTCAAAGGCCACGATAGACCTCCGTTTTGTTTTTTTTCAAGGCGTTCGATGTTTTTTGGCCGTCTTCGCCGTCGTTATCGTTGTCGTCGTCGTTGTCGTCGTCGGTCGTCGTGGTCGTCGTCGTCGTCGTCGTCGTCGTCGTCGTCGTCGTGGCCCCCCCCCACCCCCCCTCCGCGGACCTGGCAGGCTCGCCGTGAAGCCCTGGAGCTCTGGGACGGGGAGGCGCGGCTGCTGTCCAGGGGCAGCGCGGCGCTGCGCGAAGGTGGGGGGGCCCTTGTCGCGACCACCCGCCCAGTCAGGAGGGAGACGGGGAGGGTGAGGAGAAGCCGAGGAGGAGGGAGGGTGGAGCAGGGGGTAGTTTCAAGGGTATTCTCCGTCCTTCCTCCCCCCTCTTGAGAGGAAGAGGAGGCGGAGGATGAGGATGAGGATGAGGATGAGGATGAGGATGATGATGATGATGCTGATGATGATGATGACGATGATGATGATGATGATGATGATGATGATGATGATGATGATGATGATGATACTGATGATGATGATGATGATGATGATGATGATGATGATGATGACAATGATGATGATGACAATGCTGATGATGATGATGGTGATGCTGATGATGCTGATGATGATGCTGATGCTGATGCTGATGCTGCTGATGATGATGATGATGATGATGCTGATGACGATGACGATGATGATGATGATGCTGATGATGATGATGATGATGATGATGATGGATGCTGATGCTGATGCTGATGATGCTGATGATGCTGATGATGATGATGATGATGCTGATGATGATGATGATTATGATGATGATAAGGATGACGATGATGATGACGATGATGATGATGATGATGATGGATGATGACGAATGATGATGATGATGATGATGCTGTGATGATGATGATGATTATGATGCTGATGATGATGATGATGATGCTGATGCTGCTGCTGATGATGAGATGATGATGATGATGATGATGATGATGATGATGATGCTGCTGCTGCTGCTGCTGCTGATGATGATGATGATGATGATGATGATGATGATGATGATGATGATGATGATGATGATGATAGGAGGAGGATAAGGAGGAGGAGGAGATGGAGGAACAGGAGGAGGAGGAGGAGAAGGAGAAATACGAGGGACGAGAAGGGGGAGGAGGTAGAAGAGGAGGGGGAGGAGGAAGAGGAGGAGAGGAGCGGAGGAGGAGGAGGAGGAGGAGGAGGAGGAGAGGAGGAGGAGGAGGAGGAGGAGGAGGAGGAGGATGAGGAGGAGGAGGAGGAGGAGGAGGCGGCGGCTGCGGCGAGGAGGCGGGGGAGGCGGAGGAGGAGGAGGAGGAGAAGGAGAAGGAGGAGGACGAAGAGGAGGTCCGTAACCATTTTGGCTCAAGTCCGTAGCCATCGGTTCAGGACTTGGCAGTAGTGTCGAGGGGGATCGGCGGCCCCCACCTCTTTCCCTGCTTGCGACCCGCGCCCGCGCCGCCAGGTTTCGGGTGCTGTCCGCGTGCGATGTCAGCAGGATGGTCGTGTTCGGTGTGCAACTATGGCTGCCGTGCGCGCTGCCGACAGGCAGGCTGCAATGGTCAGGGACCCAAGGGTGCGCACTTGGTTCCCAGCGTTGTTGCTCCTTGGCGCGTGCCTCGTGGTGTGTGGGCTCAGTCTTCTCCTCCCGTGTTCTCCCAGGCGCGTCGCCGCAAGGCCGCTGGTAAGAGCAATGGGAGCAGCGGAGGGGGTGCAGCTGCTCTGCAGTTTGATGAGTCGCAAGCACGTGTGTGGTTGGATTTGTCGGATGAACAGTTCGATGCGGCCGCAGCTGTTTTGTCACAGTCTTCTCGAGATAAGCTTAAGCACGTGCGATGGAAGCGCGCGCGCGGCTTCGAGGGCCTCGCGTCGGTCCAGGAGGCAAAGGATGCGCGGCAGGCCATCGATTCGAATGCAGGGGAGCTGCAGAAGGCCAAGGCGGCCTTTGCACGGGCTCGCTCTGCAGTGCAGAAGGTGGCGGGGCAGTTCGCTTCGACGCGGTCCAAGCTGCAGGAGCTCGACGCGGAACTCAAGCAGGCGGTGGAGGAGGCCAAGGCGAAGGCGGCGAGGTAGCCTGTCGTGCCAGCTCCTGAGGCGGCGTCGGCGGTCACCGCGGCGTCGAACGTGGCTCAGGTGCTTGCGGCGCATCCTGGCTGGGAGACGCAGGTCGGCGCGGCCTTGACTGCTCCGCTCGCAGCCTTGCTGCAGGCGCTGGCGTCGCACCCTGTCTGCAGCGGCAGCGATGCGGCCCGTGGCTCACAGTCTGCGGCGGCAACGATGCAGCCCGCGGACGCGCAGCCCGTGGCAGCGGCTGCGGCCCCTGCTGGCGGCGCGGCCGCAGGCGCGGCGGCTGTGGGCGAGGCTGGGGATCTCACGACGGATGCGGGCTCTGCTGCTGGTGCCGCCGTCGGCGGATCCACGCCGCTCTCCGACGAGGAATGGGATTCGGTGCTGGCGGCGCTGCAGAGTGCTGACGCCCCGATGGGCCCTGGAGGTCGCAAAGCCTTCATCGGCGATCTGCAGGAGGCCGCCGCCAAGAAGGTCAAACCAAATGAGGCTGGAGCGTGTTCCTGACGGTTGTGGTCAGCACCCACCTGGCAGCTCTAAGGTGTGGCGCCTGGTCAGTATGACTGTCAATGTCTTCTCTGCCTTCAGTGATTTGTTGGCGACGCGTGACGACGCGGCGCGCACGCTGATACTGGAAGAGGCGGATGCGATTATGATTCAGGCGACACAGTTGTCGTCGAAGGCATGTGAGGGGGAGTCAGCGCGTTTCAGAGTATTGGGATGGAATTGCCTGTTCACTTCTGCTATTGACTGCGCTGCTGGTCGCAGGGGCAGTGGGAGTGGAGGGCTCCTCATTTGTTGTTTGCAGCAGTTTGGGCTAGGGTATGATCGAAGGTGTTGAGTGTTCGATTGTTCGTGGCAGGGCCTCCTGCTGTCTGCACTCGGTTTTCTTGGCGGTTGGTGTTGTACTCGTGCATGTGTATATCATCGACAAGATCGGTATGGCGGCTGCGAACCTGGATATTCTATATCGAGTGGCTGATTGTGTTCGCAAGATAGGAAGGCCGTGTGTTGTCGCTGGTGACTTCAACAATATGCCTTCCGACCTGGGGTTCGCGGGGGTCATGGTCTGGTTCGGTGCGGTCATCATTGCCCCTCCGCAAGGCACATGCACGCCTGCAGGGCGGACTCTTGATTTCTTTTTTGGTATCTGACGGGTTGCATGCCAGTTCGGTGTCGATTCAACCTGAGGTGCCAGTGGGTCCACATGTTGCAGTTTGTCTGGGGGTTGCCTCGGTTGTGGGTAAACCAACGGTGCATGTTATGCCTGTTCCTCGTTTGTTCCCTGGCGGTCGGCCCGCTGGATGTGCCATATTCAGTTGTGATGCGGCGTGGACTCACGCCGGGGCCCTGATTCCGGAGGGAGATATCTCGAGGGAGGTTCTATCGCGTGCTTGGCATAACTTTGTTGAGGCGGCAGAGGCGCGCTGGGTAGATGTCTTCCAGATTCCTAGGCAAGACACGGGCAGCATGTGTGGTAGAGGGGTGTGTGTCGAGCCCAGGGTGGTGGAGCCTTTGCTGAAGCTTCGCTTAGCTTCGCCTTGTGCTGGACTCAGCCCGCGGCGCGCGCTGACGAACTTGCCGCTGTGCGCGGGCTTCTGAAGAAGGCTCTTGCTGCAGTCGCTGCCGTTCCAGATGGGCTCGCGGGGAGATGGTGGAGTCTCCCATCTCTTCTGCTGATCGAGGGGCTGGAGATGGAGGCGCTGAAGTTGTCGGCGAGCAGTGTGAAGTGCCGTGCGTCGCAGTTGGCTGAGGTTGACATGGCGAACCGTGGCGCGGAGTTGCGTAAGTGGGTGACGGCCCAAGCTGGCTCTGGTGCTGGTGGGTTGTTCGCTTGAACTCTGGAAAAGATGTCCTGGGCCCCGTGCGTCCCTGACTCGTAGCGTTCGCGTCTTGCTGTGCACAGGCAGCTTGATATGGATCTTCTGTCAGAAGAATGGTTTAGCTGGCGGAAGGTGGGGAAGTGGCGTGAGCGCGCGAGCTGGCCCGCGGACCTAGGTGAAATGTCTCCCAGGCCAAGCGTAGAGCAGCTGCGTGAGGTCTGGATGACTTTCAAGAAGACGTCTGGTCTCTGGTGTCAGGTTCGATTCCATTAGGCCTCTCGTCAGTTGTTGGAGATCGATGGGGAAGGTCTCGGGTGCTTCGTCGATTTGACCGCGGCGATGGAGGCGTCGGCGCTCTGGCCCAAGTTCCGTGCGAAGATTGCCTTTCTGCAGCAGCGATTGGGGGGATTCGCCCGATAGCGCTGATGCGCGTGGTGGCCCGAGTGCTGGTTCGTTCTCACTTCTGGGCGTGTGCTGGGAGATCGTGTGAACGGGCGGCGTGGCAGCAGGCGGCCTGTCCGAATGGGCCACGTGTAAGTCTGGAGGTGCGTCCCGGGGGGCCCCTTGAAGGCCTTTCTTTGAACAGGTGCAGCATCATTGGCTTCTGGAGGCAGCTGTGTCAACTGGGTTCCCTTTATGGCAACTTCGGCTTCAAGTGGATCTCTATAGGGCTCAGAGGTACCTCGCGCTGGGATCGGTGGTCTCTGAGGGGGTCGCGACGGAACGGGCCGTTCTCCTTGGGGGCGGGTGGGCGACAACTTTGCTTTGGTTAGCGCTCATCTGTCCCCATGGGCAAGGTGTATCGCGTGCATGGTGCCGTCGTGCCGATGGTCGTGGTCAATGATCTGTTGTTGCAGCGCGTGGGGTGGGGTTGGGTGGGGTGTATGTGGTGGGGTGGGGGTGGGGTGGGGTGGGGTGGGTGGGTGTTGGGTGGGTGGGTGGTGGGTGGTGGGTGGGGGTGGGGTGGGGGGGGGGGGGGGTAGAGATCGTGTGCGTCGTGATCTCGTGCAGGCTACCAAGGACTTGCAGGGGATATTGGAGGAGTATGGTGTGACAATGTATTCAGATAAGAAGCGTGTGCTTTCGAATGGTCGTGAGGTGAGTTCCGTCATTGCGGCTCAATTGTCTAGACGGATAGGTGTCAGGCGCGAGCGTGACCTCGGAGTTGATTGCGCTGCAGCATCGACAGGAAGGTTCGGAAGGAGAAGATCCGGCTGGCTAGAGGCAGGGTGAGACGGATAAAGAAGTTCTGGACGGGTGCCACGAAGAGATGCGTCTGCTCGGGTTGCGCGGGCAGGTATTGAGGCTAGCTGTTCGTGCGTCATGTCTGTTACAGGGTGCGACTTTGGTGAACCGGGGTCTGCGCGCGCTATGGCTTTTGCGGCGATCAAGCCGAGGGCAGCAGGCAAGAGTCGCACTCTCACGCTATTGTGTCATGACAAGATTGATCCGCTGTATCGGGCCACGTTGCTGCCCGTCGTGACGTTCGTGAGGGCCTTGTGGGGATCTTGGGTGCCATCTTGTCTTCTTGATGTCTCGATGTCGGGTTGTCTCGGGGCCAAGCGCTGGGCCCGCGTCCGAGGGCCCTGTGGGGCTGTGGGGCTCTCTTTGGAGCGGGTGGGCTGGGCTGTCTGGGAACCGTTGCGTTGGGTCACGCACGAGGGTGACGTGATTTATGCGAGAGGTACTTGTCCGTGGTACGTCGCGCAATTTTTTTTGGGAGCGGTTCGAGCTTGGCAGTGTGTTTATTTATCGCTGGATGACTCTCTGGACATCTGGCAGGTTGCGCTGATTGGGGGGCGCTTGTGTCCCTGCTCAGCCTGGGTAGATGTCGATCCACTGGGTGCAAGAAACTGCAGCAGTTAACCAATGCTCAGCGTGGGTATCTCCGTTCGGTCATCGTCGGCGTTCTGTGGCCGATGTCGAGGACATTCGAAGCAGGGTTCGTTACCGACAGTGAGTGTTTGTTGTGTGAGTCTGTCGGTGCTTTGCTTCGTCGGTACTTTTCAGTGAATCTGCGGAGCGCCCGCCTGTGCCTGCTGAGTTTGGTGTGTTGACGGATAGGGCCGACGAGCCTGCCGTCAAGCTGCTGCTCGGAAGATGTCTGTGGGCTCGCGCCAAGTTGCCTGGGGCGTGGAGGCCGCCGTCTGATCAGCAGAGCGTGTGGCATCGCCATTCGGGCCCTGGTATGATTCATGCCCCGCAAGGGTCCCTTGATGGTTCGGTCTTTGAGGGGGACTGGGCGGAGGGGTCGGTTGCGGGATGGGCGATTGTCGCGCTCGCGTCGGATCCGATTGGGGTCCAGGACGTAGTGAATGGTGCGTTTTTTTTTTTGTGTGTGTGTGTGTGTGTGTGTGTCGGGGGCCCACACAGGCCCCCAAGACAATGCCAACCCCTGTCTCCAAGGGGTTTACTTGTTTGGTAATCGGCTCTTTGCTTCTCTCTCTCTCTCTCGGGCTCTCTCTCTCTCTCTCTTTCTCTCTCCCTCCTTCCTCCTCCCCCTCCCCCCTGGCCGGGAGTGCAGGAACCACCCAAGCATGCGTGCGCTGAGTGTGTAGATGCCTGTGCTTGGACCATGCGTCAAGGCGATCGAGCCCATAACCCACCTTGCCGAAACCTCCCAGACAAGTACGCTCCCGAAGTCGATCGCAGTTGAAACCTCCAAACAAGCAGGCACGGACCGTTTGGGCAGGCCCTGCTCAACTAAACGGGACGTGGGGGCCACCTCGGGCAGGTGCCTGCGAACCGCCCTCCTTGTAAGCCTTCATGCCAGTCTCATTCTGCACGCCACGGCAGCCTCGCAATAAGTTTTAACTTACATACCCCAGCAACCTCACAATCGGCCTCACAAGAGGCCTCATAACTTGCAGCACGCGAGCTTCGAGTACGATCGGCCTCGCAACAAGCCTCATAACTTGCAGCACGCGAGCTTCGAGCACGTCCCCGAGAGCCTCACAATAAGCCTCATAACATGCAGAACGTGATTTTGGAGGAGGGTCTGGGTGCCTCTGGACGGGGCAGATACAGCAGCAGCGCCATGCCATGCTATGCGAAAAGACTGCCCGCGTTGGGTCGGGCCTCTCCGCCATGATGCACTCATCTGTGTTTCGCCTTCCTGATGCGCCCGCTTGCGCTCCCGTGCGTCGTATCGTCGCCCCGCCTCCTCCCTGCCCCTCCTCCTGTCCCCCCCTGTCTCTCCCCCTGTCCCTTCCCTCCTCCTGTCCCCCCCCCCCGTCTCTCCCCTGTCCCTTTTTCTCCTTGTCCCTTCCCCCTGTCCGTCTGCCCCGCTTCCCCGCGCGCGAACGCGGAAGGGGAGAAGAGAATTGCGCAACAATATCTTGCAAATCTTATCGTATTGCAGAGCATCTCATTCTTCGAACCTTCGACTTTTCGCAGCCTCTCCCGGAATCTCCCGGAATCTCTGACAGAACTGTTAAAACAAATCTTATAAACTGATCTCCGAGAGCCGTAGGGCGCAATCATGGTTGCGACCCCAGCCCTGGGGCCACAACCGTCATAAAGTAAATGTGCAGTCGCCTTTCGAAATGGCCCCCCCCCAGTTGGTTGTGCCTCAGGCTACCGTGGTCCACGTGAGTACCCTTCAAATGTACCTCAAAAGAGTCTCAGGAGCTTGGCAGGTCTCGCGACCTGGCAAGTGTGTGTGTGTGTGTGTGTGTGTGTGTTGGTCCCGTGAGGGGCATCGATGGGGGCGGAGTTAACTGCGCTGGTGTAGCTGCTTAAGGTGGCCGTTCCGCTTATAGAGGCCGCCGCTGACAACATTTTTGTGTACGAAGTTGTGTAGGTGGGGGGCCCTGCGCGTGCGACTGCGTTTGGCATCGCGTGGGCTTCTCTTTGGTGTTGCTTCTGGACTCCTGTTAGTTGACTGTGGAGGTCTGGGCGGGAGTGGCTTGGTTGTACGAAAGATAAAAGCGCATCTGCCTGTCGAGGCCGTGTTGTTGGGCGTGTTTCCAGGCGGGGCAGATTTGGCAATGGCCGGGCTGACGTCTGGGCCAAGCGTGCTGCCGCCCGCTTCAGAGTCCCGAGTGAGGTTGGGATGCTCCGACTGAAATCTCATGCGTTGCTGGAGCGTGTTGATCACTGGGTCGGCACCGTCGGGGCCACGATGGACAGTCGTGATTGTGTTGCGATCCGGCACTCGGCGTGTCCGGTTCGGCCTCGCGAGTCTGGCCCCATTCGGCCCGCTCGAGCGGTTAGCGAGCATGATTGGTACGGCCCCGACGGCAGTCGCTGGTGCTGCCTGTGCCGTGTGATGGGGCCTGCGCAGAGTGAATGTGCAGGAGCCATTATGTAGCGTGCGATCGAGGCCTCGAGACTTTTCGAGGCTCGTGGAGAGGTGCCGCATAAGGTGGTGGCCTTGGCCACTGAACCACGTTTTTGGCATCCGAGGAACCTTTCCGTGGCCTGCATGGTGTGAGGGGCTTATTCCTCGAAGCAGTTGAAGTCTCTTTCCTGCCCTTGCAGAAAGCCTGGGGAACATGGGGTAAAAACCCTCAAGAGACTCAAAGCAGGCTTCCTCCCGGAGGGTAGAAACAAGTTCTCGACTGTCACTGCAGATTGATAGCCTGAGGACTAGATGTGGAGCGGTCAGACGAGCGCTCCGATGCATCGGGAAGGAAAGGAGGATGAGGAAGAGGAGGAGGATGAGGAGGAGGAGGAGGAGGACGAGGAGG